TTTTAATTGTCCAAGGTGTAAAGACCAACGTACCTCTGACTTACTGAGTTCGCATGTAACTGTAAATTACTCTTAGGGCCGGTTTATTCAAGCTCAAGTAAAGTTCAAAGTAAGTTACTGGTTCAAGTAAGAGAGACATCTGTATATTCACAGCCAAGTAAATTTACAGGGGCGTGTAAATAGCTTACTGGTAAAGTAAACTTATAGGCTACTTCAATGCGCCAGTAAGGTGTTACTTCAGTTATTCTAACCTCACACTTTGTATTGTATGTAAACAATGGACGTTATCGACGATATTTTGTTATTTAACGAAATGGATATTATTAATAACATTGAAAGGCGACCCTATAATACAATTAATAGATTTCGTCACGTCGATAACTTTCACGAGTGGGATGAAACTGATTTTGTAAGACGGTTTAGATTGTCTAAAGCTTCCGTCCTTGTAGTATTAGAGTTAATACAAGGTGATATTCGGGCTCGTACTAACAGGTAAGTGCAAAAGTATACATCTGTGATGATGGTATGTAATTACGTGTTTTTTGTCAGGAACAATCCCATAGCTCCATTGCAGCAGTTGCTTCTTACGCTTCGCTTTTTTGCAAGTGGAAGCTTTTATATAACCGTGTCAGATTTCGGCGGAATACATAAGAGTACTGCGGCACAAATAATAAAGAGAACCGTAACTGCCTTGTGTCAATTACGCCGGGACTATATCTATTTCCCAAGAGATCCAGAAGAGCAACATAATGTCAAAGCAAAATTCTGCAACATTGCAGCATTTCCAAGAGTTCTTGGAGCCCTTGATGGTACCCACATCCGGATTCAATCTGATCACCAGGTATGATCAAAGTTTAAGTACCTAACTACTTACCTACATGTAATAATACATACATAATTTCTTTTCACCAGGTGGGCAACAAGCCGAGACATTTAGAAATAGGAAAGGATATTTCTCCTTAAATGTGCAAGTTATCAGTGATGCAAAGCACTACATACGAAATATTGTCACTCGATGGCCTGGATCAAGCCATGACGCAAATATATTTGATAATTCACTCATTCGAATGCAATTTAAAAATGGGGAAATGGGCAATGGACTGCTATTAGGCGATAGTGCATACCCCCTCAGATCGTATCTAATTACACCTATTTACAATCCCCAAGGTGAAATAGAGACCCTGTTTAATGAATCGTTAATCCGCACGAGAACTGTAGTGGAGAGAACTTTTGGCATTTGGAAGCGGCGTTTCCCTATACTATCCGTAGGAATGAGGTGTCGTGTTGAATTAGCACAAAATATTATTGTCGCCACAGCAGTAATACATAACATTGCACGTCAAGAGAGAGATGTCATTGACGATTTGGAGGATGACCCACTAATAGAGAATGTACTGGCTCCTCCACCTAGGAATGACAATGATAACCACCATCATAGAAGAGAGTTATTAGAATATTTTGAACAGTTGTACAATCATAGAAATTAAAAGTAACTTTATAAAATAACTGAATTTTAATACAAATTTTACAAACATAATTGCTTTTGTAATAATTTTTGTTTCAATTTTAAGATCTCCATTTCTAACTCATGCTTTGCTGTTTCCCTTTCACGCCTTTCTATCCTGTCATTTGATGACCGAAAACCTGAATCCAGACCTGAAACTGATAATCATTCATCCGATTTCCCATTTGCATTCGATACCGTTTCCGTTCCGCTTATATCCTTAACCCACCTGTCCCTGCACCCTTAACCTCGCCATTCATTAGAAATCATCCAGTCCTTGAAAGACGAACCCTCAAACACCCGGAAGTTCGATACCTGTGGGGCCTGTGACCCGCATGTAGCCAACTCCCGCTTGCTTGATTTAGTCGTAAGGTTGTGAACGTTAAGCGGAGGTAGTGGCCGTGTCACATCTTGCTTTTCGTTACCATACTATCACCAGTCCCTTAGATACGAGGCGAGTCAAAGTACGGGAACTGGGAACTGTGGGGCCTTCGACCTGCATTCCTCCAGTTTGCGACCGTTGATTCTGCTTCAACCTCGAGCGTGGTGTACGGGGTTAGTGGCCGTGTCACATCCTGTGTACCACCTCTAGCATAAGTACCATACCGCACTGACGGGCCGAGTATTCGGAAGTGCTGGTGTCATTCACCTGAAATAGAACCCGGCGGCACCAATCATTCGCACCCCGATTCATCGATAGCTTACCAACTCCCGGATAAAAACCCGCTAATCGATAAACTTACAGCTACTGCCAATTAGAGTACCGCTGAGCCGAGGCGATCAGCTCTGACATCTCGACACCTGAGATCGCCGCCATTGCCCTTTTACCGCAACCCGAGGCAACGGCATAGCCAACTGCAGAATACTACCGTATCGACACCAGGGCTACCAACTAAATAACAATTCTGTATTCTGTGGTGTAGATACACGGTGTTCAAAAATAAAAGGAAACTGGTGTGTAAATAAGTTTTATTTAGAAACCCTGGGGCACGACTGCAGCTACCCGCGTGCCCACCGAAAAACCCTTACAGAATTCTTTTTCCAATTCCACATTTGCCAACTGCAATTTAACCAGCTCCTCTCTACTGTTTGCTAATTTACTGAATTTTTGTTCTAGATTTGCTTTACGGTTTGTTTTTTGTTGCAAAGCTTTGTGAGGTGGTTCTTTCATTTTTTGTGGGGTCCACGATTGCCAACCAGTTGCATTTGTTGCTAGATACAATAAATACTCACTTCAATTAAGGAATTAAAATGAAAGGAAGCACTTACCGACATCACTTGCACTTGCTTCAATTGGAGTTGCTTCTTCATTTGGCATATCTATCTCGATGGGGATATCCAAAACATATGCAACGGGTTCTAAATGAGATGTAGCTCTGGTGATGTTATTACACCCTACAATATACAGTATACAGGTCTTATTTATCCCTTTGTAATTACCACAAATTACTTTCATCTTCACTAAGTTCTGCTGTCGACATTGGTGCATCGATTACAATCGGTTGAGTACATTCGACTGGTTCTGGTGGTGGAATAACAGGAATTTCTAAATCTGCAGCACTTTTGTAAATAATGTAATAGGGTCTTTTTAATTGTTACCTTTATCACAATCATTTTGCGTGTGTAATCCGTCCACTTGCGTACTTATAATAGCTAGCAGCTTCTCTTCGTAGTCAGTATAGGTCACTGTATCGGGAGGGCCTCCACCAGTCCGATATAATCCACACTTCTCTTTACTACGTTTCTGCTGGAGACTTCGTTTTATGCCTTCGTATTTTATTTTTAACATTTTAGTTGATCGAAACGTGGATCCGCTGTTTGCATTAAATGCACTTTCGAGGTTGATCCACGCGTCCTCTTTCTGTTTGCATGTCACAGCATCAGTTTGTTTATTTTCAATAATTTTTTTCCGTTTGCAAACTTCGTCTACTAGTAACCTTGATTCAGCCATTGTAAAATTCGAAGATCGTGCCCGTTTTTTGTTATCACTAGCTGTAAAAACATGTTGTAATAGTAGTGAATATTCCGTAATTGGTAAAACTTACCTGTATATGCATCCATGGTACCGGTACGTAGAATAACTAATACCGAACAAGTAAAAGCGCAAACGGTATATAACCTAACAAAACCACCTTAGAAAGTAACGTAAACGTTGTCACTATCTTTGTTTAATACTAGCATTCGTATGCCGCATCTCTCTCTAAGAATTACAGATCGTTTAAAAACGTTGACGCTCACCTACTGGTGTGCGTGACTATTCGTTTAAAAACATACCAACCTTTTCAGTATCTACTTAACAGCCAGTAGCACATGAATAGACAGAATTGCTTTACTTTTCATAAGTAAATTTAACTAACCAGTAGTTACTTAAGATTTGTTGGGTAGTTGAATAAACCGGCCCTTAGAATATCAAATAGGAAACAAGTACTGAGAGTTCAATCCTGAATTACATATTGTAGTAAAGGACTCGCAATGTAACCTCGCAATAACATCTTTTCCTATGGAAAAATTAACTCCTATGAGACTTTCATTAAATTTCTTTAATTCGCTATACAAGTAAATGTAATTTCTATTGTAACGCTCAGAAACTCCGGCAGAAAATTACTGTAACTCCATTTAAAAGTATACACAGCGGTATATACTTTTTTATTATACCTGAATCACAATCTCCGTTTTAAACAGTCAAATGCGTGCGAAAAAGGGCCTTTAAAACACACGTGCTTTAAAGTTGCTAAGTAACAATACTTCAAGTATGACTTTTGAAACTGTCATCTGGATGAAATAAAAAATCCTCTTAGGTGTCGCTTTCTGTAAATGCAGATCATTGCTTTGGCTTGTACCTATCCTTTGGTTGAAGCTTTCACAAACGCGCGTAATTTAGGGTATGCTTCCAAATCTGTTCCACTTTTTAACCGCAGCATTGCTTTAAAGTTTTGAATGAATGCACCAAAATATAGAAGATTTAAATACCTTTGACATTTCCTTCATATATGCCAGCGGATGCATTTAAGACTTTATTCGTAAGTAACTTCCTATTCCATCTATGGAAACAACTTTTCATATTCTTTATAATAGGCTTTACTGGATTTGGATTTTACACCTACCAACGTTTGTTTAGATTTTACAACAATCGATTTAATGGACGGTGTATTATCTTTTTCAACGGAAATCGTTTAATTCACAAAGACGATGATTTTTATAAGCAAACGTCAAGTGACATTTCCATGGCAATCGTGAAATTACGAACACCCAGCCCACTTAATTAGACATGTATTCGAGTATAACGTCAATATGACTTCATTGTATTTCCTATTTTTAAATTATACTGCAGGTATAATAAAAAATACTATAAGATACACGTGTATAATTGGTCTTTAAAGCACTTGCAACGTTAAAGGCACTCCGCTTTGCGTCGTGCCCTTAAACTCGTTGCGCGTGCTTTAAAGACTTGATTATACACTTTTATCTTAATATACTATATTGAAAATAATTGCAATATATCAAACAACATCGTTTTTGGACTTGTTCTTTTCCTCTCGTTCTCGGCGTTGCTTTCCATGACGCAAATAATCCCGTACCATAGTTTCAAACTCCTTTTCAGTGGATTGGAAAACTGAAGAAATAGCATCTGTAAAAGGTACAAATTATAGCTAGTACAAAAGAAATTGAATAATTACCATAAAGACATTTAATTAAAATTAAATCTTCAACTCTATAATTATTATTTCTCCAGCCCTTCCACGAACATTTTTGGCACAAGCTATTTGTAAAACTTTTTATAAAACATCTAGTGGTTATGTCTCTTAAAGATGTTCCCCCTACATATTTAAAGTATTTAATCTGAAAATATGTAGTGAATTTACAGCAATTAATACTGATACGGACACTTACCACTTTTACTTTAAATTCCTCGTCAGTTTGTAGGTTTCTTTCAAACGTTTCTAAATCCTCTACACATTGTAGTGGTCTAGTGGAAACTCTGGTATGGAAACCTGTTCAGCCTGGTTGGTTTTACGATTCTTCAATTTTAGCTCATCTAGCTCCAATTTGATGGCTGTTAACATTCTCAACACTTGATCTAATTTTTTCTCCACACAACCTTAAAAGTAGGTATATAGGTATGTAAGTCTTAGTAGTTGCAAAAAGGTACATGATGCATTGATTATATGGTGTTTACTTTATTTATTGTTTAAAAAGATTTCCATGTCTACCTACCAGGAACCCTCTTGGTGGTAGCAGAGCATTCTTATTATACTAAGTTTTTTGTGACACTATAAATACGAATTTTTAAACAAATACGATTTGTTTTCACATAGATGCTGTCTTAAGAAGCAGCACTGAAGAAAGGAATTTTCTTAAGTTAGGATTTTACTATAGTATTAATGTGAATAAAAAAAAAACAAATCCAACTTACTTGTATTGTACTTAGGAATTTGGTACACCATTTCAGACGCAGGTGGAGCTTCAACTAAAACATCTATCAAATTCTAATTATTGATACAATAATATACAAACCATCAGTGTCTCTCATTACGAGAAGAATGTTAGCAGAGATTGAATTATTAGTATGATCTGAAATAATATAAAATAATTTCATAATGCAGTATTAAAGCAAACATACCAGAAGTGTAGCTCAATGGATTAACATCAATTGGAAATACTACAACATTGAACAATTAAGCATCTTATTTCAACTGCTTTCATTTAAAATTATCTTGGTTTCTAGTTATCATTGACCGCTCTGCGTCTAATAATGGCTGAACAGGTAAGAAAGTTTTATTTATTAAGTACATGTACATTTAAAACATTAACATGAGCCGGTTGGGGATCTACATGAAGCTTGTCACCAGGTACCTCCTTCAAATGTCTTTCAAATTTATTGGTGAAAAAATGCGCACCGAGTGCAAATTTTTATAAACCATTGGTCATTGTAGTACAAGTATTCATTGGAATATCAGTGCAACATTTTTTGCCTAAAGTGCACATAGTTCCGAACGATGTCTTGAGGCACGTGCGGCATTCAAATCTGATCAGCTGTTTAGCATTTTTGTTTACAATTTCATGGCAATGTCACAAAAATGGTACTTTGTTTGTCTACTTATTTCGTCCAGTAGTAGTAGCGAAGATGAGGAGTGTTCTGCAGATTGTCAAAAGAAAGAGTAGAGTTGCTTAAAATAAAAAACTTTGTGGAAGATGTAATTCAGAAATTTGATGATCATCATATCTTTGAGGATATTGAAATGTTAATGATTATTAAAGTTTCAGAAATTCTTTCGTTTACGAAAGAAAAAAAAAGGAAAAAGGCCAACGTGTTTCATTCCTCCGGCACCCCTGACTACAGGGATAACGGAGGCGGGCTGCTCAGGGCTTCCTGGCCCTCTTCAGCCAGAGAACGGGATTGTAAGGATGGGTAAAGTTAGGGATGGGAGCGGAAGGAACGGAGTTAGGGTGCTGAGGGGGACAGTACTGAGGAAAACCCCCTGACAAAACACCAGACAGAGCAGTCGGCAGCGGGATTCGAACCCACAACCTCCCGAATAGCATCGGTGAGCGCGACCACTGCGCCACGTGCCTCGGTAAAACAATAGCAGAGTTACTCATCGAGAAATTTGAACAGCTACTCGATATAACAATCGGTTACATTGGTATAAGCCTTTGTGCGTATTCAGTGTAAGTAACTTTCTATCTTCAGGAGCTACCTAGTAATTGTAAATCCACTTTAGAAAAATACCTCCCTCCTGCCATTGACGCAAACAATTCGTCGATAGTAGGCAAGGGATGCTCATCTATATGTAATTGTGGGTTTATTGTGACTTTAAACTCCCCGCATAATCTGATTGTATTATTACTTTTCAGTACCAGAACTACCGGAGTAGCCCATTCCGATGTACTAACTTTTTCTAACATTTTTGTGCCTGTACCAATCTCTCAATTTCATTATCAACTAAAGGTAATAATTTGAACGGGACACGACGTGCTTTCATAAATACTGGATTAGCACCAGCTTTTAATTTATGCTTGGCTTGTATACCTTTGATTACCGTAAAGGTCCCATCAAAAATTGTACTGTACTTCTCAAATAAACCATGCACGTCTAATTTACTTTCTGTTTGCAATTGCAACACCGTATTAATTTGTAATAAATTCAATTGTCTGATCCATTCCCTACCTAACAAAGGCTTCCTACTAGCTTCTGTAACGGTCGGTTTACACGCTTAAATAATTTGCACAAACTGGCTTGCGCAAACTGGTTTGTGCAAATTATTTGAGCGTGTGAACACGGGTTTGAAGTTTGCACAAGCCAAAAAAGTTGGCTTGAGTAAAGTCTGTCCCGGACTGAAAATCGGCTTGCGGTTGGTGTTAAGATTGTGCGTCTGAACGATGTTTAAACCTCAGTTCCAATTTGAGCATGCGCATGAAGCATTGGTGACGTAATCTTCCACCACGTGTTCTACTCAACCTAATCAATTGTTACCGCGAGCAGTGTTTTCACTTCATTATTGTAATAGTTCGTGTTGCATTATTAATTAGTTGTGTTTCAAAATGCCGACCGAAAAAGAATATCTTCGTGATTTGAAGTATACAGGGTGATTCCTATAGTACCTGCCACCGTTTGGGAGCGTGTAGGTGGTGCGTAGGGGAGTATTTTGATATAGGACACTTGGGGTCGGAAATCTAAATTAAGGGTGCCAGAGCCAAATTTACCTTCTGGAATTTCGCGCCTGTAGGTAGGCAACCCAACCGGCCGGCGGTGCACACGGAGCGATCTCAGGCGGCGATGTGTGGGCTGACACTTGATCAGAATTTTGTTTAAACCCACGAAATCCCGTCTGCAACGACGCGTATCAAGTGAATAAACACTATGGCAATAGTATAATAATAGTTGGCTAGATGTAGGAAGTGCATTGAGAACAACGGTGGCCACGTTGAACACTTGTAAACGTTATTGCTCTTGACTGTCGTTTTCCCTCCTTCCCTCCCATGTCGCTTCCTCGCGCTAACTCGCTCTGCATCGCTCCGCGCGAAACGTCGGTCGGTTGGGTTGCCTACATACAGGCGTGAAATTCCAGAAGATAAATTTGGTTCTGGCGCCCTTATTTTAGATTTCCGACCCCAAGTGTCCTATATCAAAATACTCCCCTAGGCACCCCCTATACGCTCCCAAACGGTGGCAGGTACTATAGGAATCACCCTGTATTTTAAATTCCTCTCTCACTTGTTTTGCCTCTGCACTGGGATTCCTATTATAGCCCTTTTGAAGACTTAACAGATTGTCTGAGTCAGTTTGTAAACCAGAAGCAATATTGTACCATTGCTAGTATCTTCTACATGAAACACGTCTTGTGATGTGTATGTCAGGGAACAATTTCTCCGCAAGAAATTATGCAATACACAACATGCCAAAACAACCTTCTCAATATTATCAACTTGTAAATTTATAGAAATATGAAAAATTCGAAAACGGTTAGCAATTATTCAAAAAGTTTTCTCTATAATTCTTCTGGCCATAGACAAACGATAATTGAATATTGTTTTTTCATAATCAAGCTCTTTAGTGAGTGCAGCTTGAAGAAAAAAAAGTTTCAATACTACAATAAAAGAATAGAAAACAAGAACAGGAATAGGAACAAAATAAGAATACTGATGACGAAGACTTTAAGTTTTTCGAAAGTCTCAAGCCCCATCTCAAGTTGATTGCTGGAATGAACAAATTAATCTTTCGAAATGATGTCCAAAATTTAGTAATGAAATATGCATATTGCAGTCACGAGGGTTGATTCTTCATCTTCTACTTCTGTTTCTGGTCATGGTTCTTTGTCTGGGTCCCGTGCAACCTCGGTCTGTGAAAACCAGTACACTTTGTATAACCTTGGAGATGTACCAGGTGCTGAGACTGGTGTTCAGGAGATTACGGAGTGACAATTATTAGAAGGTACTACAAATATTATACACTTTTTTGTTTTGAATATGTAGGCATAATAGCATAATAAATAGACAACTGTCGTATTTTACCATTTTACATGAAACCGTCAAGAAAATCTAAATTTCAGGGTATTTTGACATTAGAAAGTTCATCTTTACCTGACTAGTACTGTAATATTTTTGCCTGACTCCCGTTACAGTCCTAGTACATGCAAAATAACAATTAGATCGTTCCTTGAATGCAATCAACGATAATTATAATGCAGACTATGTGGATATTTTTAAATATTAATACACCTACACAAAGGATAATGGTTTTTTAATTACTAACAATTAATGGAATATGTGTGGAAGTAATTAATCCTTTAGTGTTGCGCCAGTCATTAAAAGGTTTGTACGCCTTTTCGTATCTCTTTCTTGCCTTTGTGGGAAGCGAATATTGCACTACGGCGGCCGCAGCTTCGGCTACATTATAACAACGTCTCGCGTAGGTACACTTCTTCACTGATACCTGCTTTTGTACCTAGTTATAAAGACTGTATATTTGAAGAGTACAAAGCATAAACTGCAAACTCCATTAAAAATGACACTGATTGTTTTAATTATTTTGAAATCTCTATGGAAACAAAAATGTGAAGCGCCGCTAGCATCGGGGGTCAAAACACTCTCGGCTACGCTTTCCGCTACACTCTAACCTCGCCGCTCCACTATGTCTCCAGACAAAGCTGGTCCGAAGTAAACATGAAGTTAGCCATTGAGGCAGTTCAGAAAAAGGAAATGGGTTGGCGTCGAAGACATATGATGTGCCATTTAGCACTACGGCGGAGAGCTAAGAGCGGCGATGGTTCAAACTCCAAAGAAATAATTAGGTCAAAAGGTTACATTTTCATGTGAACTTGAAAAAGAACTTGTGGAGCACATTAAAACATTGGAAATCAGATTTTTCGGTTTCACAACGTATGATGTACGAAAACTTGCCTTTCAAATTGCGAAAGCAAAAAATCTACCTCATAGATTCTCCATGATGAAAAACATCGCTGGTTGGGACTGGCTTCATGGATTTATTCAGAGAAACCCGACCATATCCCTACGAACCCCAGAATCTACTTCGACCGCGTGCAGGTGCGCCAAGAACAGCAAAACAATTTCTTTGTGATCTTTGCCTTTAGTGAATTTTAATAATATGATATGCCATCTCAGCTGAATGCTTTCGGCTGAGATGACATAGGTCACCATTTCTTATAATCCGTTTATTAAGAATACTTTTTATTTTAATTCATTATATATTTGTTTAGCAGATAGCCTATTGTTTCCACTACTAATTCGTATTTTTAGTTTATATTAAAAACTTACTCATGCATATCTATACATGATTTAAAAAATGTATGCCATCTCAGACATACATACCTCCCCTACAACATCGAAAGTAAAACAATAATATATTATTCTACGAGCATATAAAGAGTGCGATTATGACACGAGGTGAAGTTTGCAACATGTAATTCTTCCGAGTGTCATAATCGCCTTTATATGTAAGTAAAATACGCTATTTTATCTACGACTGTTTAATTAAATAGCAAATGCGGCATCTGAATCAGTTTGAAACGCGGCCACTTCATAGCGGTAGCGCAATGTACGCCTATGGTTTGGTTTGTGTTCGTTCATTCGTTGACGGTATTTAACCTCAAATCTAATTCAATGTCCAGGGCCCTGATTCTAATTGAGATTTCGACCGAAAACACGTCGAAATTAGTATGGCGACGTCGAAATGCGACTCGGGGAGCCTGGCGGATTTCGGCTGAACTAATAATATGACGTCATTAAATTTCAACTAATCGAAATTAATTTCAACTACTAGAGAGTGGTTGAAATTTACATTTCGAGTCGAAAATCTTAACGGACATATTTTGTTTTCGAGATTTGACGTATAAATGCAATATTAACCTTAAAAATAATCTTTTTAGTGATCGTTGATAATAATGATTTACATTTCGGTTTTATCTTTGAGGTCGTGTTTCTTTACTATATGATATATCATTATTTTGCGGTATTCTGTTTTACTTATAATAATAATTGTGCTTGGTTTAGTTAATAGTAATGGCTGCGTTATTTGGAAATTTACTTATTTTGGAGGCATTGGAAGTAGAAGAAAACAGACGGTATCAGCGGGTTATGAAAAGAATGGTCAGAGATGCGCAAAACCCATTTTCATTGAGCGAATCTCAATTTAGACAACAGTTCCGCTTAAATAAGGATGCTGCAATGTACCTATTAAGGGTGCTAGCACCACATTTGGTGGAGGGTGTTTATACTTCGAAGATACCCAAAATGGTTAGGGTAAGTATACCTAGTACAAATATTGCATTGAATATTGAAATACGTCATCTTTCTTGTAAAATAGTAATATTTACACAATCTAGATTATAGAGTGTAATAATTTTCACATATAAAAATTTACAAGCAAACAACAATCAGTGTTGTGTATGCTTTAAAAAAGCTTTGCTTTTGGGTGTTTATTACAAACTAGTGTTCTTTATAATTTATGTACTCGTTCAAAATGTTTACATATTTTAGGTACTCTCAGTTATACATTTTTATGGTGTTGGAAGCTACCAAAGGGGACTTGCCAACAATTTTTTTACATGCATTAGTCAATCAAGCCTTAGTCGCAGTATCACTGAGGTTACGGATGCAATACTTAGACATTTAACAAGAAGATGGATTAAATTCCCTAGAAATGATGTGGAACGGAATGTTAATAAAGAAAGGTAATAGTTCCTGATTGCCATTCTTACTTATTTTATGAAAAGTAACATCTTTTTAAGGTTTCATGCAGTATTTAATATGCCTGAAATAATAGGAGTTGTGGATGGCACTCATATAGCTATAGTTAAGCCAAGGGTCGATGAACATATGTTTGTAAATAGAAAAGGATATCACAGCTTAAATTGTCAAATAGTAAGTAATACAAAGCATGAGCTTTGTAATGTAAGCAATTGTAATGTACGTCTTTTTGTAAACTAGCATATTGGCTAAATAAAGGATTAAATGATCTATCTACATGTTTTATCTGTTTGTTTAATTTTAGATATGTGACGCAGATATGAAAATTATAAATATTGTATCTCAATGGCCAGGTAGCACACATGATGCATTTATTTGGAGATCGAGCCGAATTGGAAGAGCCTTGCGTGCAAACTATGAAAATGGACAACGCCATGATAGGATAATGGGTTTGTATTATTTAATAGAAGTAATAATTTGACTACTTAAAACATACAAAAAACCAATATAATAGGTTTCATGTCAGTTTTCTTTACAGGGGATTCAGGATATCCGTGTCTTCCATGGTTATTAGTGCCCTTTGCTCGTACAAATACACAGAGACAAGAAGTTTTCAATAATACATTCAAACAGTCTCGAAGTGTGGTTGAAAGGTGCATTGGTCTTCTCAAAGGTAGACACAGATGCCTTTTGAAAGATAGAGTGTTACATTATGCACCAAATAAGGCTGCAAGAATAGTTTTAGCCTGCGCAATACTACATAACATTGCCATTCATTATAGGGTACCAAATCCTATCCCCCTTTGGGACGAAATTGATCAGGAACCACTTCCACAACCTCTGTTGGATCAACAGGATCTTCTCTTAAGGAATTTGGGTCAACAAAGTCGAGAAGCTTATGTGGACCAATATTTTAATTTTGTTGACAATAATATTGTTTAATGTTTACAATTTTGTAAGTTTCATTTTCATTGTAGTAAACTTTTTATTTTATTTTTATGATAAAAAAGCAAGGTACTTATTATGTGTATTAGTATTGTTATGTGTATACGTTATCATAATTTATGGCTAATTTTATTGTACTTAATATTTTTTTAATAAAAAAAATTAAAACACTGTTTATTTAAAATAACTTATTTTTTTTAATGTTCAATGGCTGCCACTAGGCATTTTAAAATTTTATTACTCTCTTTTTTTTCAGCAATTAATACATCAAGTTTGGAATCGATGGATTCCATTCTTGAATTTAAAGTTTCACCTATTTCTGCGAAACGACGTGATGCTTGTGCTGCTATTGTTGGTTGTTGCACTAAAAAATAAAATAATTTTAAAACAATATATTTATTAAATTAAAATTGAGATAGGTATTTATATGTATATGACAATTTTCAAAGCACCGAAGAAGTGACATGAAATATTTTGGAAATTGTTGCCCAAGAAAATAAATATACTTAATAACTTACTTTTTCGTCGTCTAGGAGTATCCTGAACAGAGCTGCTGCAAGAAGAGGAGGTTTTAATTGTCTTGGTGGGGGAAGACTGTCTTTGAGAAATTTTTCTTTTTTTTAATTTTTTTTCTCCCAACTAAAAAAGGAACTTAAGAATAAACATGTAAGCAATAGATCACTGTCAAAACTTACAGAAGAGTAGGTATGATCCTCCACACAAGCATCAATATCACTTTCTGCTGACATCACTTCTGGTGATGATGATAATTGTGGTTGAGCCACACGACTAGTGCTAGGTTGAGGTGATACATTGTGCTGTGTCACATGGCTGGTGCGAGCTTGTAATGTGATCTCATGGTGTGTCATATGGCTGGTACTTGGTTGCTCAGGATCAAGTTGATTTACATCCTCACTATCCAGTGGAGCTTCCTGAGTGCTTTCTAAGCCATACACTGCAGCCTCTCCGATAATAATAATTATCTTTATTTCGATATCGGTTAATGTTGTTTTTAAGTGTGGTCCTCCTCCTGTTTGGCCCATACTCTTTTTTATTGCACTGGCCTTTTTTTTAACCTTATTTTTCAAGTCAATCCATACCTAAAAACAACAATTAATTATTGTTGTACTCTCTCTTCCCTTTTACCAGACCCATTTAAAAGCCTGAAATACAAGATCTCAATGAGTACTTACTCGTTGCCATTTGTGGCTTGTTTTCTTAGGTCCTATTACACTATTCAATTGGGTTGTCAAAATGTCCCACATGGCTTTCCTATTTTGTTTCCCATCATTCCCAAGAAGTTTGCCTTTGGCAAAATCTGGATGGTCCTCCATAAACTCTACCATTATGGTTTTTTGCTCTGGTGTCATCTTCGTTCCACCTTCGCGGTCATCTTCTTCGCCAAACATTTTGCTTGCAAATATGACGAAACAAACTAAATATACAATATGTCTATAATAATTACACTAAATAAATAAATTTGCTACACTAAACTAAAGTAAAAACAGGCTTCTTTACACAAAAATATAAACGAACGATTATAAGTTCAACAACCATGGTCAACAACAGAAAAATAAATATAAACAAACCGCCATCATTAAAAAGTAGAGCCAATACAATATCTGCGTACCGCCAATAAAACGTACCAAATATCCCTAGATGGAACTACAAGTCGAAATGTTGTGAATAGCAAACGACAAGCGACTGTCATGGCGGAGTCGCTTTGAGATTTCGACGTCGAAATGAAATAGAATCAGGGCCCAATATGAATAAGGCAGTGACTACTGGCACGTTAGAGTGCCTGGTAATATATTTTTTACAGGCACGTTCGTGACGTCATAATAGATACTGTCGTCATTGACGTGCCTATTATTTGAAAATTGGCGCCACGTCAACGGTCATACGGATAACCTGCAAGTAAAAAATAAATAACAATAAATGTCTAACCTCTGTTTTGTTTGTAGGGCAGTTAGGGTAATCGTGTACTTTAAACATGGAATCTTGCGTTAAAGATACGTTAAGTAAAGCAAGTGGACAGTAGATGTGACACTGGGCCTGCATCAGCAGCAGTAGAAAAGCACTTTTACATAGGTCAAAAGTTTTATTCATATAAAGCATTATGTGATTATATAACGAAGTATGAAAAGTCCGAGAAACAAAAATTTTCCAAAAAACGTAGTCGTACGATAGCAGGTGCATCAAAAATTCTAAAGATACCTTTAAATCCTGCGTTAGCATATTATATACAGGGTGACAATTTGAAAACTTACCATATCTTAGTAAATAAACGAGATATTTAAAAAAATCAAAATCCGTTTCGGTAATTCGGAGGGGGAATCACAATGACATAGTTGGCGACGCACCCCCTCCAACCCCCTGCGCCCCAGCCACCCCAAATTTTAAATCTTAAATAGTGACCCCCCATGTGTGATACGTCGTTGGAAAGCTCTGAAAAAATGCTTTCCAAACATACCAAATAGCATTACATTTAGGTTAGTAATTATCGTGCAAATCAAAAAATAAACTAATATGATACATTTGAAATCTGTTGTATTTAAAACGCAACCGGCGAACTTTAGACGAACTAAGACAGAGAATAATTCAAGAATGTCGAAATATTGCAAAACCAACATAGGAAAGGTTCGAGACAAGATTTGGAGAATAGATTTAAAAGTTGGGGTGGCTAGGGCGCAGGGGGTGTGAGGGGGTGCGTCGCCAACTATGTCATTGTGATTCCCCCTCCGAATTACCGAAACGGATATTGATTTTTTTAAATATCTCGTTTATTTACTAAGATATGGGGGGTGGTAAGTTTTCAAATTGTCACCCTGTATATTATAACTGTCATTTCTGACAGCCAGGTCCGTTGGTGACGTCACATATGACTTAAACGCGGGCAACATTACAAGTATAGGGATCGAGCAATCCTTATATTATATAGCATCCTTGGCCCTAACCTAATAAAACAGAGGTTAGAAGTTTTTGATCGGCATTCGGTATGACGTGCCGTCTACACCTTTTCCACTTTTATTCGAGAAACTATAAAGTTAATTTGAGAAAGTATCAATTGTATTTGAGAATAGTAAAATGTATTTGAGAAAACAACAAATGTAGTTCAGAATAGTGATTTGTATTTGAGAAGGCATCAAATGAATTTGAGAGTAGTAAATTGTATTCAAGAAATGGTAAAATGTATTTGAGAGGATATCAATTGAAAATGAGAAAAACAAAATCACATGTATAACATAGCCTGATGCTGCTGCTGCTGTTGCGGGACTACATACAGTAGCGGGATTATAAAAATTTGATTTTTAATATTACATTCTGAATTCTGAAATACAAATAACGACTTCTTAAAATTAAATGATACTTTCTCAAATACAACTGACTATTCTCATCTACTTTGATGTTTTCTCAAATACAAGTAACAATTCTCAAATACAATTTACAATTTCTCGAATAAAAGTGGAAAAGGTGTAGACTGTGGCAATAGGTACGTCAATGACGACTATAATATGACGTCACTAACGTGCCTGTAAAAATTATATTGCGGGCACTCTAACGTGGCAGTAGTCACTGCGTATGAATAAAAGGAAGCATATGCTTACACTTGCAAAATTCAAAGTAAATACTCGTAAGTGTCCCTTCACACTTATGCCCAGTTGCACCGTTTTTTACTTAAGAAATTCTTTAGTAAGTAGTTCTTACATTTAAGTAGTTCTTAAATATTGGGTACGTTGCACCAACCACATTTGATAAATTCTTACCTAAGAATCGCTTAAGAATTTGTATACATGGCAACAGTGTAATAATTTAGTGAATTTGGTTTTATTTGTATATTTTAACAGAACCTCACTTTACTGCTAAAATATAAACAAGTGATATCGATTTAAAGGTGCTCTATTTTTATCGTACCTATTTAAAAATGGAAAACGATGTAAGTGTTTTACAATATTTGAATGGTTTACAATCATCTGCTGACCCTTATTTTTGTAGGACTTGTCTCAGAAAAATAAGAGTCGCACCCCTAATTTTACTGGGAGCGAGAAACAGTTACTATTCAGTATCATCCACAAATACAAAGAAATAATAGAGAACAAGAAGACTGATGGCGTTACCAATGAAGAGAAAGTAAGGACTTGGGACAAAGTTGTTTCCGAGTTTAATACCAGTTGTCCAGAACGTCATCGGTCGTTGCAGTCTTTAAAAAAACTCTATTACAACAAAAAGAAAGAGATACGGAAGTCGGTGGCAGAAGAAACTAAGGAACGATATTTAACAGGTGTGGTGTTATTTTATTATTTCTTCCTAATCATCATATTTTGATAAAAGATTAATCGTAGTCAACTTTATTTAAGGAGGGGGTGTGATGAAGATTCCCAAACCATGCCCTGATAAGGACTTGGTGTTGAGTATAATGAACGAAAAAACAACATACGGTTTTAATACTGAATTTGATTCCGACTTTGTTAATTTGGTAAAGAAAAAAACCACAAGTATATTATTTATATAATGCCTACTGTCTTCATGAAATAACTTTAATAAATCTCAATTTATAGTGCGAGGTATTGCCTGTAAATGGAACAGCGAGAAAACCTACACAAAATTCATTGTTGTCTCCTGCTATTGTAGAAGTAATTGAAGAAGATGACTGCAATCTGTCTACAGATTTCCCAAATGATGAGGTAGGTATATAAATGTTTGTACGGAAAATACAATGTGTATTTCAAACAGATCGAAGGAGCTGTGGAGAACCTTTATACACCTTCCACATCCGGTAAACAAAATGTGGAATATGACCAACCTTCTAAAAAGGTAACATGTTACTGTTAAAGATTGCTCAAGCTTACAATTATGTTTTAGAGAAAATTTAGTGCAAGTAGAAGACGTCCTGCAACGGTTGTGAAGGCTCTAACTTCATCTGCACTTGGGGAAAAGTACAACAAATTAGTTGACTACAGGTTAGCTATAGCGGAAGCAGAGATGAAGTGGCAATCCGAGCATCATGCTCTGCAGCGAGAATCAATACTTCTGGATATTCAAATAAAAAAGGAAACTTTGCAAAATTTAACATTAAAGTAAAATTCTATTATTAATCATATTTATTATCATTCCTATGTACTTTTACTTTATTTCAACATATTACATTTTACAAATGAGCAAAATAGTTGTTAATCAAATCATCCCTCAACCGTACAATATTGCCACCATTGGCCGCAGGTATTTCCGGAATGTTACCATTAGCAATTAGTTGTTGTAACTCATCGTCATGAATATCTTCTGGTAAAGGTGGCGGCTGCATATCATTCATGGAACGTGCAATATTTTGTAGAACGGCTGTAGCGACAATTACTGCAAAAACTGTGTGTAGCTTCAGTCTTATACCATATGCCAGTACAGGGAATCGCCGTTTACAATTACCAAACAGTCGCTCGACAATGTTCCTTGTTCTTATGTGTGCATCGTTATAGACTTGTTCAGCTCTATTACGTGGGTTTGCCAATGGTGTTAAAAAATAATCTCTCAAGGGATAACCACTATCACCTATTCAATAATTATGGGATTTTCAGTTAGCTATTAATACATTGAAATGTTATACCTACCTAGAAGTATGCTGTTTGGAAACTCTCCATTTTCCATTCTAGCCCTTATGCGACTGCTATTGAATATTGTAGAGTCATGCGCTGAGCCTGGCCACCTACAAACAATGTCCATAATTTCTAAATTTGCATTTGAAATTGCTTGGACATTAAGAGAAAAATATGATTTTCTATTTCTAAATATTTCCCCGTCATTGCCCCCAGGGGATTGTATTTTAATGTGGGTGCAATCTATTACACCTACTACCCTTGGAAATGCAGAAATTTCAAAAAACTCATTTTGAATGCGCTGCAACTCATTAGCATTTTCAGGCATTTTAATGAACTGTGGTCGTAGTCGTGCAATAGCTTCAGACACTCGTGGTATAATTCTTGACGCAGTCGATGTGTGTATTCCCGCAAAATCAGCAACTGCTGTTAAATGTCCAGAGGATGCGTAAAATCGCAAAGTCACTAACAGCTGATTCATAGGGGAAACACTGTGGTTGCTGCAAGGATCAATCGTTTTAATATGTATTATTCAATTACAAAAACTTACCTACGTGTTATTTGGAAATTCCAACTCTTCTTCTATATAAATTAACACCCTTAAACACGTTTGTTTTGTTAAACGAAATCGTTTAAAGAAATTATATTCGTCCATGGAATAAAAATAATCAGATCTGGTGTAAAGCATCCTAGGAAATCCAAAGTCAATAACCTCCAAGATGTCTAAATCGTCTTCTAATATATCGTCTACTATTGCATCCATTTCTATTTTATATAGCTTTGTCTATATAAAATTGCAAATTTAATAGCAAACGCTAATAGAAAAGAAAGATGTTTCGTAGAGGATATGGTTTTTACACGACATAAAAAGATCCAAAACATTCGTAAGGCATGCGCGGTTCTATTTCTTGGCGCAAAGTAGAACTTAAGCGACCGTATTTCATGGCTTAAATCGGTTGCTTAAGAAATGCTTAGACCTTGGTGCAAGGAAAAACGTGAACTTAAGTATAACTTAAGAATAAGTAATGCTTAACTATTTCGGTGCAACTGGGCATTAGTGGCTTAGCAGCGCTGCTGAGCAGCTCAGTGTGAAGGTGCACTTAACGAGTATTTACTTTGAATTTTGCAAGTATAAACATTTGCTTCATTAAAATTCATATGGGCCATTGTATGGCAATGTAAGTGGCGAACTAAAAATGCAATTTATCTTATTAAGTCCCCAGAAGTCATTAATTCAACGTGTAATTACCTACACGTAAGATTATTATTGTTAAGTAAATTGTTGTCATTCATTTTTCATTGTTTTAGATTGTTACATAACCTATGGAAATAAGGTGGATATTTATGTGATGTACCTATGTACAACTATTCTCTAAATCCGATCCCGATGTTATCAATTATGCCTGCTGAAATTGTTACACAGCTGCTATTCAAGTTAAGCGCAGCAGCAAAGCAATGTTGTTGAATAATACATTTATTTGGAAAATAATCTTACAACGAAACGTCCAAAAGAAAAGATAATTTTCAGCATTACTGACAGACTGCAGAATTGCCAACTACTAACTAATAATATAACTAACTTAAGGCGGGAAACTTACTAACATAACTAGATACTTCAACACCCTCCCTCAATTATGCAATTCTACCAAAAAAAAATAATCAAGTGATACAGTGGCGGCTGGTCTATAAGAGCTGCAGAACCCCCAAAAGAATTAAAAAATAAGCTTTACACTTAAAATCAAATAAAGCGTGACAAGCGCGCGAAGTTAAAGGTGGCACAGTTGCCCAACACAGGAAACAATCAGTCTCCGCGCGCTCATCTGTATCATTCTATGTCTATATAAACTTAGCACGGCGATACGAGGGAGTTCTGCGCTCCAAATTCAAGGTTTCCCCTCACGTCGCAACACCCGCCGAGGTTATATTTAGTGTGTTGCTTTAACGAGAATTTGAACTGCATCTGGTGCAGTTCCCAACTCGGTTCAAGGTGAGAATTGTGTCTTGCGGGGCGATTTTTAAGTTTTCGCGTATTGTTATAGGAGTTTATTTACTTACTGTTGTGTTTATTTTACTAATATTCCCATCAGAAATGGATGTTATCCATAATTTATTAAATGTAAAAATATTTATAAACCACACATACAAACAAAAAATTAAATTAAAACACGATGGGCGTCCATTGCCAGATATTTTAATTGAGAAAGAAGGCTCAAGTCGTGGTAAACAGTATAAAAGACAATTTAATCGTGAGGTGTACTCAAGAAACGAATGGATATGTGGGTGCAATAAGAAAAATGCCCTGTTCTGTTTCCCGTGTGTACTATTTGGCGGAGATAAATCGTGGACCCAAATTGGAGTCACCGATTTAACACATTTGTGTCAAAAAATAAAGAAACATGAAAGATGCCGGCCCCATTTACATAACACAATAGAATTTGCTTTACTAGGAACCGTCAATATAAGGGAACAACTCGATTCATCTATTGGTTAAATATTAATAAAAAAAACGAAACAAAAAATCGATATGTTTTGTCAAAAATTATTGACTGTGTTAAATTCTGTGGAATCTTTGAATTGGTACTGCGAGGACATGATGAGACTAGTGTCTCAGAAAATCCTGGAATTTTTCGTGGCCTAATAAATTTTAGTGCAGAACTTGACAAAACTTTGGCAGAACATTTAGAAAAGTCGACGGTGTTTAAAGGGATTTCAAAAGAAATTCAAAATGATCTATTGGACTTCATTTTAGAAGTATACCAGGAGATAATTTTGGAAGAAATTCGTCATTCTCCATATCTAGCAATCATGGTAGACGAAACAACTGATGTGTCTGCAAAACACAATTAGTAGTAACACTTAGGTATTCACGAAATGGCGAACCTGTTGAACGTTTTTGGACCTATTTGAATCCCGTTGGTGTCAATGCAGAGTCCCTCACGCAAGATATTTTACATGTTCTAAATGCAATATTACCTGACACAAAATCAACCAAAAAACTAATTGCCCAAAGCTACGACGGCGCCGCAGTGATGAGCGGAAGACATACTGGAGTCCAGGGAAGGATTAAGGAGAAGTTTCCATATGCCCATTTTGTGCACTGTTATGCACACCAATTGAATTAATAATGTATACAGCTGCTTCACAAAATTCACAAGTAAGACTTTTTTTTGGAAACTTGCAGGAAATACCAGATTTTTTTTAAAATTCTCCGCAACGTGTAGATGTACTGAGCCAACTAGTTCAAAGAAGAATTCCCCATGGTGCGCCAACCCGGTGGAATTTTAATATCCGCACTGTAAATATAGTTTTTGAACATCGAGAATCTTTAATAGAATGTATGAAGAAAATAGAAGACTTTTAATACCAAGTCAAACTGTTTGTAGTGCCGCGTCATCTATAAGAAGAATGCTCCTAGATGAAAATTTTATTTTCTGGCTTACATTTTAAATTAGATCATCGTATTGCCGCGATAGAGATCTGCGATGTAATTTTGAACTGTGCCAAAGATCGATTTGAATTTAAAAGTCATTTATCTGCAGCTCCTTTGTTCTATTCTGATAAATTCGTGGAATATTGTGATAATTTTCCGGAGGAAAGTTTGAATATAACTTGTTCTACTTATCCAGACATAGATAAAGAACGTCTGAAAACTGAATTATCAGTAATTTATTCCAGAGCAGACTGCAGATCGATAACAGGAGCAGTATCGTTTTTGAAATTTATAATTGAAAATAACTTATCAGCGTCGTTTCAAGAAACCAAAAAAATATTAGAGATTCTTATAACTCCAATGACAACTGCGAAAGCTGAAAGATCATTTTCTACGTTCAAACGAATTAAAACTGTTTTACGTAATACTATGAGTGAGGATCGTCTAGTGGCTCTATCAATGCTATCAATTGAAAAGGCAATGATTCGTGAAATTCCAGAGTATTATTTCGACATTATAACTGATGTGTATTCCAAATGACATCATTTTTTGGTGCAAATATAATTCGGGAGTGGTTTCAATCAAAATTTTAAGGTATTATTTTTTCTGTAACCAACATCATACACATCCATCCCAACATGTAACCACGAATAGGAAAATTATAAACACCCGTGCGAAGCCGGGTCGGGCAGCTAGTTATAGATAAAATTGATGACAAACATTATAAAAAGTTAAAATGACTTAACAAACAGGTAAATTGTCCTCTTGCTGGAACCCTTTAGCTACGAGCCTCGCTTTCTTGGTTACTCCTCCTTCTACTGTTTTTCGAGTAAAAACCCATCTTGATTCAATGATATTTTCATCGGCTGGTGTTCTTACGATACTCCAGTTTTCGTTTCTTTCAAGGTTCGAAATTTCTTCTTTAATTGCCATCTTGCACGGCTTCTTCAAAGGATTGAGGAATTTCATTCGGTAGATGTCCAGCAGCTAAGGCAGTCATGAATCCCATATCATAATCGTGCAGGAATTCTTCGTTCTCTCG